GGCCATGGAGTTTGCCCGGAAGACGGGCGCCGCGCTGGCGCTGGAGGCTCCTTGCCCCCCCTGGCGCGGAAGCGCCGGCGTGCGGAGGCGGCCGGCACGGCGCACGGCGCCGGGCGCCAGGGTTGGGGGCGGCCAAGAGGGGGGTGATGACTATGTTTAAAAGTCGAGCCTGTCCCTGTACAGGAGGAATATTCAAGAATAGTTGAAAATAGTCAGTTTGTTTATACAAGAAAATAGTATAAAAAAAACATGGTTGATGACTTTTGGGGCCTTTTTTGTTTGTTTTTGTTCTTGTTTTAAAGCATTTTTCGTCCAGAATCCGCCTGTAGGGGGACACGTCCGACCTATGACTAGGGTCAGGAGTGGAAAAGACTCAGACACAATGAATCGTCGACTCCAAGGAAGATATGGGAAGTGGGGGGTTGGAAAACGAAGATCCAGATACTAGGGAAAATATAGGGAATTTTGGGATCTGTGTGGATTTACTTGTGTGTTCCAGGGCCCCTGTAAAGGTGGGGGTCGGATCTCATGGCGGGGGCCATAATGTTTCCCCACATTTCATGGCGCCTTGTCTTGTTTCCATACGTGATCGCTCGTCTCGGGGAACAGGCGGGGGGGCAGCGAAGCTGAGGAGATATCTCTGCACGGCGTGCAGCAACGCCGAGAAGCGGCTGTGTTGAAGCACTTGTTTTTCAACCAAACGCTGCAAGCCGGCCCAGACGGGCTAAGTACATGTCAAGATCGGGAGGCCGATTGAGATACTCTAACCTCGAACCAAATCACAAGCTAAAAACTCGAGTTGCAATGGTTATCAGACTGATCTCATTCCTACTCCCGCATATGTGTTGCCTGGCGCAGCCGTCTCATCATTGTTGTAGTCCAGGGTGGGTGGGTCGGGACAGCTTTGACAACAGGACGAGGGAAGCGGCCTCCAGTGGCAACAGACGATACTTCCCCGAAGGGCCTGGGTCGCCGAAGCCGTCGGTGACGAGAGAAGAAGGGGGCTCCAGCGGCCACCAGCGGAGGGCTTCCTCGTGAGTGATGTAGATTCACCAGATATGCCTGCAGGAGCCCGTAGCGAGCACGAGAGACAACATTCGGTATCGCGCCATTTTGGCTCAAGGAGCTTTGACCAGTCTTTCGCTACGCAAGCAGAAAACCATCTCCATCCATATCGATATCAGCGATATCGCTACGACAGTCCTCACTCGGTCCACCACCCGCTGATCTCGCCGAAGGCCTCAGCGGAGAACAGGCCGTCACTAGAGTCGTCCTGGTCCCCGTTCTTCTTGCTCTTGCCTCTGCTGTGCTTCTGCTGCTTGGCCGGTCCCAGCATCAGAAGCTCCGCTGCCAGCATCTCTCGCTTTCTTCAGCTTCAGGTTCTTGGTGATGGAGTCGACCAGCTGCCTGTGCTCGTTATTGTAATTAGTTGGTGCGCGAGGCCATGGCGCGAATGATCTCGGAGGCCACGCCCGAGCTCGCGCGGGTACCTATCTCCAGCACCTCCTTGGGCATCCTCGCCCGAAACTGCGTGAGGGCGAATGTCTTGGAATACCTCTGAACGCTGGAGAGGGCCTTCCGGCGGCCCCGCCTCCGCACCTGCTCGAGGCTGGCGCGGTCCTGCTCTACGTCCTCGCTGGGCCCCCAGGGGCGGAGCCCGTGCGGCGGCGGCGCCCATGGCATGCCTGGCGCGCGGCAGGCTCGGTGCCCACCCCTTCGGGAAGCCCGCCCGCCGAGCGCCGAGGCTGGGCGCGTGGGAGCTCCTGTTTGCACCCTCGAGGGCCAGGAGGGCGCTCGCCACGGTCCCGCGGCGGGCGACGACCCCCTGGGTGCTGCCCGTCCTGCCCTCCTCGCCGCTGGCGGACACGCCGACGAGGAGGCCAGCGCAGCGGCCATCCCAGACGAGATCGGGCCCGCGCAGCATCTCCGTGTCCTGCTCCCGGCCGTCGTCGGGTTGATCCAAACGGGGGTTCAGCGACGAGGGGGTGGCGCAATAGACTTGGTGCAATGGTCTGGTGGGGTTGCAATACATTTGGGGCGTGCAATACATTTCGCGGCGCAAATGTATTGCTGGATTTTCGTGCGCAATACATCATTTGCAATACAATGCAATCCAATTCTCCGGCGCAATACGTTTGCAACACAAATGCCCCAAATCTATTTCACCACGCCTTTTCAGCTGGACCCCCTGTTGGGTCACCTAAACGTAGACGTCGTACTGTACCAGCGTCCAGATCGCCTCCTCCCAGAGCCCCACCCCGAAAAGAAGTATAGGGAGAGGGCGAAGGCGGCCGTCTCGGGCAGCGGGCGGCCCCTCTCGACGGACACGACCAGCCTCCTGCCAGCTCTTCGGGCTCTTCAAGGCCAGGGGGAGCTGGCTCCTCAGCTCTGGTCAGATAACCAGCAGCCCGAACAGCACGATGGCTCCCCAGGTTGGGCGAAGTCGATCTCGACAGCACTTTAGGTCCATGGAGTAGGCCTGGGCGTGGTCCACGGCATTCGCGTCGACGCAGTAGGCGAGGGACTCATGCACCTCCGGAGCCCACTGCGTCGCGGTGACGTCCGCCGCGGAGTGCGTGAGGAGCCTCGGGAAGCCCCCTCGCTGATGCCCTGGTGCGGCTCGCGCTCGTAGTTGTCCCGCGCCAACGGCCCCCTCTTCTGCAGGGGGACGTCGCCTGCCCTCGGCGGCCGCTGCCGGACCGCGTCGACGGGGCATGCGGCCGCGAGGGTAACTGCGGCTAGCCACCAGCGTATCCCGTGCAGGAGCGGCCCAGGTCGCGGAGGTCGCACGCGGGGCCGTCCGTCGAGGTGGGACGTCGATCGCTGTGCGCTGCCACCGTCTCGGGCGCCGCCCCGAGGACGCCCCCCCGGAGAGGCCGTCGGAAACGTTCAGCTCCGAGGGGACGTAGCGGTAGTGCTCGTAGATCCCGAAGGCCATGGTGATCGCCGCCGCCTGGCGGCACGGGCGCAGCAAGGCAGGAGAGCTCGAGCGTTCCTTGCCCAAGGCCCCCAGCGCCGCCATGCTGTCGGTGAGGATCAGGACCTTTCGCCTCCACATTCGAGACGACCTGGCCAGGTGTCGTAGAAGGCCCATCACGGCCCGCGTCTCGTTGATGTTCGTGTGCTCGGTGATCCTCCACTTGCCGAAGTAGAGCGGGCGCCACCTCGCCAGCGGCATCCAGGCGGGGGCCAAGGGCGGGACTCCGATGCGATCGCCCCGCCTCACCTCGCTCCTCGCCCTTCGGGCCTCGGTGGGCCGACGGTCGCCGTAGAGGGGGGCGCCAGTGTCCCCGTCGGATTCGGGGCCGCTCTCCTCCTTGGTCATGCGGGCGAGCGCCAGCGCGGTGCGCAGCGGAGGCTGGTAGGCCTGGGCGGAGGAGGTGCGGAAGTCGGGTCGCCCTCGTTCCGATCGTCCTTTGAGTGCCGCTCGATGCCGCCCTCGATGGTTGCGCTGCAGGCGGAGCCGATCCACGGCGCAGCCCACCCTGCTGTCGCAGTTTTCAGAGGTGCCGATCGTGGTGGGCTTCATCGATGGGGCCCCCCAGCGGCACTCGTCGATTGCGGTCGACCTGGCCGCCCGTCTCCGGACGAGGTCCGCCATCTCGGGGAGGATCCAAAGGGGCGGGCAGGGGTCGTCCTCGTGGCCCGCGGGATGCTCCATGCGGGCCCAGGCCCCCCGCCCATGCAGACCGCGCGAACCACCAGAGTGGCGCCTCCGCGGGAGGCGCGCCCCCAGGTCCAGTCGGAGGCGCTCGAAGGCCGCGAAGGTGATGTCGCTCCGGCCCCAGGTCTCGCATCGCGTCTGCAGGGGCCTCGGCCCCTTTCCCAGGTGGAACGCGGATGTGACGCGATCGCCGCGTGAAAGGACCCCGCGCGGGCCAGCTCCAAGAGCCGGCCGACGCACCCCTCGTCGGTGAGGTTGTTTCGGGTCGATCACGGCGTCGATGGACCAGACCTCGGCCTCGCAGCCCTCGAGCTCCGCCCGCGCATGGATGGCCTCCTCCAGGTCCCCCTCCCTGCGCCTCCCCGCGAAGAGGCAGAGTACCCCGTAGGCGCGCCGAGCGACGCGGGGTGGGGCCTCGGCTGAGGCCTCGGCGAGCTCGTCCAGGTCGTGGGCGCAGCCACCTGCGTGCGGTACCCAGGCGTCCTCCTCTTGACACGTGCAGATGTCCTCGGTGGCGATCGTCCATTCTTTCATCTCGCTGCGTTGCGCGTCCCTCCGGATCTCGTCCAACGATGCGATGGTGGCCGCCGCCCCGTGCCTTGTGTCGCTGGGGTCCGTCATGAACACCTGCAGGAGCCAAGGCGCCAAGGAGCGGGCCGCAGTATGCTACCGTGGTGAGCTCCCATCTCGCCACGTCCGATAGCCTGAACGGCGTCTGGGCGGTCTCCGGGGGCCTCACCGCGTGGTGGACCTGGTCGATGTGGCCCTCTGGAGCGGCGCCGCCCGCTCCCACGAGGCCGACGGCCCCGCGCCTTCGGCAGCTCCAGTCGCGCCCCGCGAGAGATCGTGCAGGGCGAGGATCAGCCCGTTGGCGAGAGCACGCACCTGTCGAACGGTGCCATGATGCATCGGTCCCGCGCGGCGTGCCACCGCCGCCCAGGGCAGCAGCCGCAGGTCCGGCAGAGGATCTCGATCGCGAGGGACGGCTTCTAGGGGCGGCCCGACGGCCCTGGTCGAGGCAGGCGATGGAGAAGCGCGCGGATGAGGGAAAGTGGGCATGGCGTCGCCTCCCACGGGCGGCGGCACCCCGCGAAGAGATCGTCGCGACCAGCGGGAACGCCGCCCACGCCGTCAGGAACGTTGGCCCACCCGGGTGGCCGCCGTCGGAGCGAGCGGAGCGGCGGAGCCCCCCTCTCTGCGGGTGCTTCTGGAAGAGGGCCGTTTGCTGCAGCCTCGCCGTCGGGTCGCGCTCCGCGCCAGGAAGCGCCTCCTCGCCCTCCGTGAGAGGCCTCCGGTCCAGCTCGTTGGCGAGGTCCCACCGCACCTTGCAGCTTTCACGTGTTGGCCCCGCTTTCCAGAGGCTGTTTCCAATCGTCGATGCAGGCCGCGTCCTTGAAGGTCCTCTTCAGCGCGCGCGCCCTCGCGCAGAGGATCTCGAAGCCCGCCGTCTGGATGAACTCGGGAGAGGCCTCCAGCATGCGATCCGAACGAACGAGCGAACTGGCGCCTCTGTGGACAGGTCTCCAACCGGAGTCACCCCAACATGCTTATACTATAGCGCGCACTGAAAAATCTTCCAGTATATGCGTCGTGAAGGGCACTTTCCGGCCACATCGCTCGGGAAACGATATAGTACAAGATGGGTATACTATATGTTCGGGTCGGACGTGCGCCTCCAAGGAGGGTCTATCGTATTAGTATGTCCCTGTGCGTCCCATCCAAGGGCGAGCAGGTGGCACATAGGCCACGATAGCAATGGCGTCCGCTCTGACCACTGTCACTTCTTTCAAACGAAAAACGAGGGGGGCGGCCGCACAGGCCTCTCACGCTCTCCGACCACAGAACACCATCACACGGACACGCAGTGGCCCACAGAGAGCGGGATGCCCGCAAATTCCCCAACGACCTCCCGAAACTTCACGAGGAAATCAAACTTGAGATCGAACTTCACGCTCATATGCACAAGAGGAGGAGGAGGAGGAGGAGGAGGAGGAGGAGGAGGAGGAGGAGGAGGAGGAAGAGGAGGAGGAGGGGCGGGGGCCACTGGAATTACTGGAACGACCACCCCCTGCGCCGTTACGACAAAAGTTAGAATTACGACCACCGCCGGCGCCGTTACGACAAAAAGTTGAAATTGGTAATCACGATCGCCAGAAGCACATCGCCGCTACGACAGCTGGGGGCCCCTGGAATGAGCTGAATGGCACCGCAGGCGCCGTTACGACAAAAAGCTGGGCCACTAAATATTGGAACGACCACCGGCGGCATTACGACAAAAAGTTGGCATTACGGTAGGTTCGTGTCGTGTCGACCAGCGGCGACCCCAGCGTGGGCGTTCAAGGTTGAACGCCGCCGGCGACCCAGAATCGATCGATGTTGAACGATCGGACGTTGCGGCAGCGGCCGATCGTTCAAGGTTGAATGATCCCTGCGGTGTCAAAAACCAACGCTGGGGTCGGCACGACACGAACCTGCCGTACCCGAGCCTCAGAAGCCGACTACTCGAACATCTCTTTGAGCTTGTCGGTTTTGGTCTGCAGCTCGCGGGCCGAAGACCCGCTGGCCTCCTGCCCCTGCTTCTCCCTGCCGCCAATGTCGACCAGGGACGTGGCGACGGCGCGGAGGACAGGCTCGATCTCTGTGCAACTTCACCGAATGCTTATCGAACGCTTTGCGAGACTTGCACAGAACAACTCTTCCAATCAAGAGCGCTCCCCGCGCCCCCCATTTCAATGTTCACTTAAGGGAGCAGGCCGCGGTTTGCTAATGTGGGCGTTTTTTTCCAATTCGCACTCCCCCGTGTCGACCACCCCGAAGTTTGAACTTGGGGCCGGTGGGTTTGACACGCTGCGACTCGGATTAGAGATGCGCGTTTCTTTCGAAAAAAAACTTTTCCAATCAGCTCGTTCGGGTTGCTGATGGCAGCCTGGTGGGTACGAACTGTGTCCAAGGTTATGCAGTGCAACATCATCTCGTGCCCGATGTGGTTGCGGCTCAGCTCCTTCAGGCGGACCCAGTCCGCCGCGAACTTCACCACGCTGCCGTGCTTGCCGTAGGTCTGGGCCCGGAGTTCGGGCGCCACTCTCGAGGTGAGACCTGCTGGGAGGATGAAAGTCGGAGGCGCGTCGATCTTCGAAAGGTTCGCGAGCAGCCGCTCCCTAGGGCCCCTCAAGGCCTCCCTCAGGGGCTCGAGACTGACTCCAGCCCCTCCGAAGCCGCAGAGGATCCCAAGTCGAGCGTGGGGCAAGTCAAGGAGCCCGCAGTAGCCGCAGTCGGCGGTGCATCTTGAAGCGTCTTGCGACCCGAGTCGGCCCAGTCCGCGCTGATGGTGTCCTCGAACTTCTTCAAGCGGTCGACCATCTTGTTCGCGTGCATGTCCGTGCCTGGCTCGGTGGAGGCGCTGCTCACTCTCTCCCAGCTGGCGAGACTGCTGTCCCCAGGGGAGGCTGCCGACGACTGGCTGTGACTCGACCGTCCTCGAGGGGGCTCGGCCTTCGAGCGGGCGATCTCGTCCGGGAGGCTGCTCGTCATCGCTTTCATCTGTGGCATGTCCTTCGGGGGCTCGGACTTGTCCGTGGAGGCTGCCACGGAGTGCCCCGCCTCCCCGTCGCTGTCCACGTCGCTCCCAGGCGGAGTGCCACCGGCCAGGAGTGGGGTCGGCCGCCTCCGGCGGCAGCGGTAGATGCTCGGGCCCATCGCCACCGACACCGTGAAGATCCTGATCAGGATCTCGAGCTTGCCGTCTTCGTAGAGGTCGTGGAGGTAGCCCACGAAGTCGTCGACTTCCAGAAGCATGTTGTGGCCATCCTCGACATCCACTGCCACATATTACAATAGACCGCCATCCGCCAGCCGAAAAAGAGAGCACCCACCGTCGAGCCCCAGCTCCACGTTCTCCACAGGCCAACCCGCCCAGGGCGAAACCACGATGCATAGGATACCCATCCGCGTAGATTCGTGGTGTAGAGCTCGGCCTCCAGCTGTTTCTCCTTGGCCTTCTCCAGGATGTCGGCCTTCTCCGTGCCCGTTAGCGCGGGGAAAACGTCGTAGTCCCATCCGTGCTGGCGACGGCTCGACAGCTTCGTGCGATCCTTGATATCGCCGACTCCCATGGCCCGATCGGCCTTCACGTGGATCCACCTGGTGTCGTTCGTTCGTTCTTCTTCTTCGGGTGCATCCTCATCACCATGAGAACCTCCTGCCCGCGCTGGAGAGCAGACGTCCTGTGGAACCTGCTCCAGCGTGTGAGACTGTCATGTGCACACGGAGGTGGTCGTAGAAACTCAGCCGCTCCGACCCTCTGGTGTACCGCAGGGACGCGGCGTCCTCAGGATCCACGAGCGGCCTGTCGAGGAAGCAGTCGAGGACCCCCAGGTCCCTGATGTACGAGAGCAGAGCGGTCCCGGCGAGCCACCACCGGCTCGCCGCGCTGCCGACGATCATGCGCCCGCGCCGCGAGGCCCCACCGCGGTGGGGCGGAGGGAGGGGCGAGCGAGCACCCGGCTCGAAGGACCCTCGAGCCAGAAACCGCTTGAGCGGACACGAAAGACAGACGAGGCAGGAGGAGGCATAGACCTGCAGGACTATCTTGCACGGCCTACCCCGGCCCGTCCTCCCCGAGACGCGATCAAGTAAGTTTGGGAAAACGATCATGCCCGCCCCCACCCCCAAGCCGCGCACATGCCGCCGGCCATGATTTGCGCCCCCCAGCTCTTGGACACCCCCCTCTTGGCCCGGCCGCCCCCGGCACGGAGGAGGGGCCTCCAGTGCAGTCGCAGGGAATCGTTTGGGGATCGAGCCTGCCCCCCCCGCCCCCGCCCGTCTCCTCCATTCTCCTCCTCCCTCCCCTGTCCCTGCTGCCTCCTCCGTCGTCCCTCTTTTCGTCTACGCTGTGCTCGTTGCGTCGCCCAATGATGCAAAACCTTCACAAGCAGTTCAGGGCTCCCAAGCTACATGAACACTCGGCCGACGCGTCTCCCGTCAGCCTTGACAGCCCCTCGATTTTGGGGCGTTTTAGCCCAGCCTTATGCGCAGAGTGGCGTGCCCTTGCGTCGAGTTTCTCTAACGCAGCAACTTCCTCTTCATGCAGTGGTGCGCAAGTGGTCAGCACCCATTCCCTGCACTGGTTGGGTCGTCAGTTCAGGTGTGCAAGCAGCCAGAGTCTCGTCGAGAAAACTGTGGCACGCTTGACACTTGCAGCTCGGGCGCATGATTTTTCTTTCGCCATGCTTGGCACGCACATGCGCTACTAAAGCCTGTTTGGTCCCAAAGCCCTGCTGTCACAGCAGTGCCGGCACGAGATTGAGGCAACCAGCGGCTGCGCGAATGGGCCAGCAGGCTGACCGTCGCGGACAGAGTCCGCAAAGACAAGCCGCGAGACGATGGAGTCCCTCTCTTCCGCGTGGTCGCGCATACGCCTGCCAGGGCCACGCCTCAGGGCACACATCGGGAGGAGGCAACGCCTCCCTGGTGCAGTCAACCTTCAGGAGGGGGAAAAAACACAGACACAATTAATCGTCGATTCCCGGGAGAATATGGAAACATATGGACAATGGGGGGGAAGACGAAAACCCAGAAAATATAGGAAACTATGGGGAGTCCTGGGATTTGTGTGTATTTATTTGTGTGTCCCAGGGCCCCTTTAGCCTCTTCGAATGGCAACACCTCCAGATCCGGACGCGGCGGGCCGGCCTCATCTCAGAGCGACAATATGGCCTCCAGAGCCTGCGAACGCTTAAGTCGGGCACGTCCCTTCACACGAGGAACATTCAAGAATAGTCAAAACATAGTTTTTTTTGCTGTTTTGGTTTGTTTTGTTTTGTTTTTAGTATACAAAACCATTATGGAGTTTTTTTTTGGGGGGGTATTCTCAATTTGTTGTCCAAAATCCTTCTGTAGGGGGACACGCCCGACCTAAGCGAACGCCTCTCAAGCCTGCCCAAGTCCTTGAGCCGACGCTTCATCAGTTCGCAGTCAATCGAGGGAATGCCGAACTGGCTTCGCACCTGAAGGTCGGACCTCTCGCTGCCATCGAACCGAGCAGCATCGGATATTCGCCTGTGAACGCGCATGTAGATTCTGTCCAAGACCCTCAGCTCGCGCACACTTTAGCACCGCAGATGCACATTGAACAACAAACGGGCGAACACAAAACTCTCGCGGAGTGAACGATTCACAGTGACGTCAAGCTCTCCCAACCCGAGAACGCGCCTGCATGTCGGCACATGTGCATCCATGGCCTTGCTGCTGCGCTTTTTGGCGTGAGCGAGACTGCCGCCTCTCGCCTCGACCTCGCTGCCAAGGTTAATGTACGCACACTCATGAGATGCACGGCGTCATCGGAGTTAGGCGAGGGCAAGGCTGGTCCACAAGGTAATTGGAGCCAGGGTAAGGGCAAGACAAACGGAATGCATCTTTTCCCCCGGGCGCAAGTATGTCTTCTGACTCCCCCCCTTTTGAAGCCGATCACCATCTGGTGCCTGGGGAACACGTCAACATGGGCACGCAAGAGGACACTGATAGCAGACATCATGACACGAGGCGAAGAAGCAAAGAGCACGAAGCCGAGATCATTAACAAAGATAATGTCAAACATCTCCTGGTCCTCCCCCTCGCTCCCTTCACTATTTGCTCTTGGAGTGGTAGTGGTCTCCCACACTTGGTTGAAGCATCTCTTCATCCTCGTGGCGACGCCGGCCTCGCGCATCGCCTGCACAAGCTGACTGAGTGCGAGATCATAGCAACAATTGAACACTAATCTGCCCGACTTTCTCCTAAGGCGGCCGCCAGTACTCGTGCAGGCAAAGCTGTCGGCCCCGTCAGCCTGGAATCAAGACTTCGTGTGGAGTGCAGCAACCAGGCGAGCGAGTTTCTCTGGCACCCCCATTTGCGGGTGCTTGTCAATGTAATCAAGGACCCACTTGGCTTCTGGAGCATGAACCCCGGTCCCAATCAGGTACTCGATCCCAACCAGGTACTCGAGCTGAGCGCTGCGATTGTCAGGGGCATCCTGAGAGAATCCCATGTGCATTTCCCAAATGACCCCGTCAAACGCCTTTTACAAGATCAGCTAAGAACACCAACGACAATTAGCCAAGAGCTTCAGCATAGGCCAAGGCCGTCAATATGACATGGTACGCCCAATCAGTACCTCTCTTAGCCACTGCTCCGTGCTGGCTCGGGGACACTAGGGCAGGGTACGCATCCTCAAGGCCATCCTTTAACATAGAGGTGAATGCATTTGTCTGGTTGTCCACAATCGCCAGGCCACGCGGACCATCAAGATCGCGCGAATCACGCATGCTCTTCTACAGCTTGACCATACAACCCTCCTTGTCTTGCAACAGGGATGTCCTCGAGGGCAGCAACAGCCTCGGCCAGCTTCGACTGTAGCACAGACAGTGCGACTCCCCCTGCTTACAAAACGGCTCCTCCGATGCCGTCGATACCGAGTCCACGGTGCGCTTTCTGTTTACTGCTGGCAACGAGAAATCTGCTCGGAGATATGTCAACTGATCCGTCAACGATGCGTTTGGGGGGAGCTTTCAGCTCTTCCGGCTCTTCCGCATATCCTGTGACCGAGCCTTCGGGAACCACGTAGAAGCCGCGATGCGCGCGCTCCACCATCTGCTCGGTCGATTGGGAGACGGACCTATCCTCCATCAAAACAGGGGGTGCCCACTTAGACCGCGTCCCTGCCATCCTCTTGACAATTTCTTCCTGTCATGATCATTGGATGCACGCTGTGCATCAAAGGACATATTTCTGAAGAAACAGGCCTGTCAATCTTCACAGGGGGGCCGCCTCGGAATGCAAAGTCACACCAGCATGGAACGCAATAGCTTCTGCGCGGTGAGGAAGCTAGATCCTGCCCCACATCTTGAATCTTCAAATCTGCACATCACCCCAAGTGGAGTCGCGCGCTCCGTCGCAACTCTGGGAGGCAGGTGCAAACGACACTGGCAAACAGAGGCCCAAGCATGGACATACACAAGCAAACACAACGCGCGCGGGACCTCTCAATGCATGCATGCACGTCTCCTCTGAGGCTCCGAAGGCTACCTCTCATATTGCCTGGACACTTCCTTCGATTGCTTTTGGACGTACTCAGAAAAACTCAATGCGACACCTGTGGACATCATGCGGGTCAGAAGGCTGGAATAACCTCATAGCATACTGGAATCAACCAACACTGGATCGCTCAACGCATTAGCATTGAAGAAGTAACGCTTCCTACAGCCACGGAGTGCGCTCACTTTTCCCTCGGCTATCACAGGCAGGATGACCTGCACAAGCCCCTTGTCAGGCACACCGTGTCGGGAATGCAGCAACCAACATCGCTGTGCAACCGTTTGAGCGGAAGGCACACGCAGTCGATTCTCTGGGTAGTGCCCCAAGACGACGTCCAAGTGTACCCCGCGGGCAGACATGTTTTCACAGCACATAGCTCACACGCACCCTGACAAGTGCGGAAAATTTGCCATTGTAGGTTTCTGTCTTTACTTCGGTCGCGTCAATATCCTTGCGGGTAGCAGGACCAATCCTATCATTTGCATCGAACAACTATACGCGATGGCCTTTCGATTCGGCGGCGTTGACAACATGACCAGCATGATCCCCAAAAGCGTGCTTCGCTTCACTGGCAGCCTCCTCGCGCGGAGCATGCTGGGATACAGCATGCATAAGTTGCATCAACCAGTCCACCCCGACCACAACATCAAGGCAGCCTTGGGCTGTACGGTACTCAATCTTGGACGCGCAAACAGGTGTTCTGTGCACCCACACTTGCGTGCCATACGCAATTGGACGTGGCTATTCGTCATACCAGATTTATGATTACCAGCAGCAGCATGCACAATAGCATTTGTTCCTGACTGCCCCCTCGCTAACAACATGTAAACGTTAGCCGTATCAACAGACATCGTTGCCTAGGATATGGAGAGATGATACTCCTGTTGGGGGAACGGGATGTGGACGTCTGTGCAATTCCGCCCAGCACCCCCTCAGCAGGCAAAGGATTTTCGTCCTCGCCCGCCACCCGCCCAACGCTAGGAACGCTGACGGGGCATCTGCGCACCTGTCAGTGAGAGCACGATAGGCGTCTCGTCACCAAGCCCGTCCTTGGGGACAGGCGCGCACTCAGCTTCAGTAGAGACGTTGGGCGGCACCCGCGGCGTCTCCCTCCCCCCTCCTCCTCATCTTCCTTCTCCTCCGGCGGCGCCGCGGGTTTGTTTCCCGCGGGCGCTCCATGATCGGAAGCTGGCAGTCTTCACCGCCGCCCCGCAAACGGCGGCTTCCCTCCAGCTCGCCCTTCCCCTCCTCCTTTCTCCCTCCTCCTTCTCCCTCCTCCTTCCTCCTCCTCCCTTACTCTCCTCCTCCTCCCCCCTCCTCCTCCTCCTCCTTCCTCCTCCTCCTCCCTCCTCCTCCTCCTCCTCCTCCTCCTCCTCTCTCCTCCTCACTCCTCCTCCTCCTCCTCCTCCTCCTCCTCCTCCTCCTCCTCCTCCCTCCTCCTCCTCCTCCTCCTCCTCCTCCTCCTCCTCCTCCTCCTCCTCCTCCTCCTCCCTCCTCCTCCTCCTCCTCCTCCTCCTCCTCCTCCTCCTCCCTCCTCCTCCTCCTCCTCCTCCTCCTCCTCCTCCTCCTCCTCATCCTCCTCCTCCACACCCATGGGGGTCAGGAGGCTGCCTGACTGCATCGGAAAAGGGGTCCCGAGGGAACGGGGTCCCGGAGCTCTGTTGGCCGAGCTCGGGCCCTGGGGCCGTCGAAGAACGACCCAAAGGGCGAAGAGCGCGCGGTTCAAGAGCTCCGTGCGGAGCTCCGAAGGATGCTGCCCTCGTGCATCTTTTCCGTGTCCCCACTTGTGGCCCCGTGACTTTTCCAGGGGGCCACATGCGAACCCTACCCCTAACCCCCACGATTTCTGAGGGGGAGGGTGGGGTTCACTTCGTTCGGGAGCTCCCGAGCGAAGTGAACCCCACCCTCCCCCTCAGAAATCGTGGGGGGTAGGGGTAGGGTTCGCATGTGGCCCCGTGGCTTTTCGGGGCTCGATCTCGGTGCCAGACTTTGCTGCGGCCTCCTCGTGCCCCCAAGACCCGAGTCGGCTGCTCGAGCCCTCGTGGCCCCGAGCCCCTTGGGGCCCCCTCGCGGTCCCGCCTCCGCCTCCGCGTCGTCGCTGTCGTGGCGTTGCCCTTGGTGGCCCCCTGGTGTGCCCTCCTGGCGGCCTCGTTGGCTTTCGGCGCCAGCAGTGCGCAGGGGCAACGTCAGGGAAACGCTCGAGTCTCCGTTTCTCGATTCGCCTCTTGTCAGGTCTCGGCGGTTTTCCAGCCTCGGGATGCTCTCAAGCAACTGCGCCTCGCCGAGCCCTCTGGGGGTGCCCGCATTGTCCCGAGCGTCCTCCGGAGAGCCGAGCTGTGGCTCGAAAACCAGGGGGCGATGTTTGGGCGGCATAGGCTATAGACCCCCGATCGCCCATTCATCGCCGATGGGGGGCTGGATAGCCCACCCCGACCAGGGACGTGCGGATTCGCCATCGGGGGCGCATCGCCGATCTATCGGCGATGCATCGCCAATTCTGGCTCGATGGCTTCCCTCCTAAGCTAGCGTTCCCCTTCGAATGCTTCACGACTGGTATCGTGGCACCGAGTGTGAGGGCTCACTTTTGGTGCGTTTTGTGCAGCGAGAACCATCAACCGCGGAAGGAGGGCGAGGAGGAGGAGGAGGAGGAGGCTGTAGACAAGGTTTTGGCTGTTCAGGTCGGCCATGATCGTGGTGTCTGGAAGTCGATTGCTCATGCCCTGGATCTGATGCCCCAAGTGAGGCACCAAACAACCCTGAGGAGCCTCCCTCGGCCTGGCACCCGCACGGAACCGCATCATGGCAGAACCGCGGGGGATCTCGCGAGTGCTGTCGGTCTTCAGTATCGCACCGAAGCAATTTGATCCCGCGTACGAGGCCCACGTTTACTCTGGTCCTCCGCCTCCTCATCTTTTACCTCCTCCCTCGTCGTCCCTCTCTGGCCCAGCCTCCTCCCCCTCTCCCCATCCACCTCCTTCATCCCTCTTACCTGACTCCTTTTCGTCTGCCCCTAAGACGTGTCGGGAGGGCAGGCCAGCACCGATTCACATCGTGCACAGCACAGGCCAGAGCGAGCAGCACTAAGATTCCTTATGTTCTCTTCGAACCTTGGTTTAGTGCACAGTCTGTGTTGGCACATCATGTGTGCCGTGGTCGATGGCTTACCGCGCCGAGTCGAGCAACAGTGGATCTTTGTTATTTGGCCGCAGCTGCGTGAGCCTGACGGCTGCGCGTACAGCATGCTAAGGTTTTCCTCGCCCCTTTGA